TAATTATTAACCCGGTCTACTGCAGCGCTCCCGCATGGTCCCGCATGGTCCCGCATGGTCCCCCATGGTCCCGCATGGTCCCACATGGTCCCGCATGGTCCCGCATGGTCCCGCATGGTCCCCCATGGTCCCCCATGGTCCCGCATGGTCCCCCCATGGTCCCGCATGGTCCCACATGGTCCCCCATGGTCCCGCATGGTCCCGCATGGTCCCCCATGGTCCCGCATGGTCCCCCATGGTCCCGCATGGTCCCACTCTGTCTCTTTATAGTCGTATTATCTAAATTCTAAACGAAATCATCTTATCTCATTATCATTTTTGAGTCTCTCTCTCTCCCTGTCAAGTGGTTGGGCACCATTCCTTTTCCCCGTCCCATCCCAAATCCTTGTGCTGATCCCTTCCCAGTGTTATATAGTCGTCATGGCTTGGCGCTTTCCCTGATAATTCCTCATTCTCTCTCTCTCTCTCTCTCTCTCTCTCTGATGAATTCACCTAAACTTTCATTTTTCTTTACCCCATTTTTCCAACTTTCAACTTTCACATTCTAGCCCAAGCGTCCTCCATCCTTAACTTACTAACTTTCTTTTCATCTTTACCTTTCAAGAGATATGCTTTAATTCTCAGTTCATATACAATGCATCTTAACTTTAATCTGAAAAGTTGTTCAAGGCTGCAGGATACTTTCAGAGTCTTCAGTAAGCGGGTGACGTCTTCAAGAGCCCTGGCGGGTGACGTCCTCAAGAGCCCTGGCGGGTGACGTCCTCAAGAGCCCTGGCGGGTGACATCTTCAAGAGCCCTGGCGGGTGACGTCCTCAAGAGCCCTGGCGGGTGACGTCCTCAAGAGCCCTGGCGGGTGACGTCTTCAAGAGCCCTGGCGGGTGACGTCCTCAAGAGCCCTGGCGGGTGACGTCCTCAAGAGCCCTGGCGGGTGACGTCCTCAAGAGAGCCCTGGCGGGTGACGTCCTCAAGAGAGCCCTGGCGGGTGACGTCCTCAAGAGCCCTGGCGGGTGACGTCCTCAAGAGCCCTGGCGGGTGACGTCCTCAAGAGCCCTGGCGGGTGACGTCTTCAAGAGCCCCGGCGGGTGACGTCCTCAAGAGCCCTGGCGGGTGACGTCCTCAAGAGCCCTGGCAGATGACGTCCTCAAGAGCCCTGGTGGGTGACGTCCTCAAGAGCCCTGGCGGGTGACGTCCTCAAGAGCCCTGGCGGGTGACGTCCTCAAGAGCCCTGGCTGGTGACGTCCTCAAGAGCCCTGGTGGGTGACGTCCTCAAGAGCCCTGGTGGGTGACGTCCTCAAGAGCCCTGGTGGGTGACGTCCTCAAGAGCCCTGGCGGATGACGTCCTCAAGAGCCCTGGCGGATGACGTCCTCAAGAGCCCTGGTGGGTGACGTCCTCAAGAGCCCTGGTGGGTGACGTCCTCAAGAGCCCTGGCGGGTGACGTCCTCAAGAGCCCTGGCGGGTGACGTCCTCAAGAGCCCTGGCGGGTGACGTCCTCAAGAGCCCTGGTGGGTGACGTCCTCAAGAGCCCTGGTGGGTGACGTCCTCAAGAGCCCTGGTGGGTGACGTCCTCAAGAGCCCTGGCGGATGACGTCCTCAAGAGCCCTGGTGGGTGACGTCCTCAAGAGCCCTGGTGGGTGACGTCCTCAAGAGCCCTGGCGGGTGACGTCCTCAAGAGCCCTGGTGGGTGACGTCCTCAAGAGCCCTGGCGGGTGACGTCCTCAAGAGCCCTGGCGGGTGACGTCCTCAAGAGCCCTGGCGGGTGACGTCCTCAAGAGCCCTGGCGGGTGACGTCCTCAAGAGCCCTGGCGGGTGAGAGGACCTCCAGCCCAGCCCTTAGCCTGTGTTTACTTTCCCACTCTTTCAATGTGATAGTTTAATAATTCAGCGAGTATTGAACTGTGTGTGTGTGTGTGTGTGTGTGTGTGTGTGTGTGTGTGTGTGTGTGTGTGCATACTTGCAATTCCATAAGCCCACCTATCCCCCTCCCAATCATCCTACTCCTATTCCCCCCCATACCTTCCCCTCCTCACTCCCATGTCACCCCAACTCCCCAGAGCCTCCTCCGCTGCCAGTCGTATACAGTCCCCACCCTCCCCCACCACCAACATTGTGCTTCTACCACCCACTCTCCCCCACCCTAGTGGCCATCGCCGCCCACTCGCAGAGGAAGGCGCCTGGCAACACACCGCGGGCATACCTGTGTCCTACCTGCGACCCCGCTCCCAGTTAGCTTGTGTCCAGTCTGCTTCCCCCCCCTCTCTCTCTCTCTCTCTCTCTCTCTCTCTCTCTCTCTCTCTCTCTCTCTCTCCTCTCTCCATGTATCTCTCATCTTCCTTCTCTCTCTCTCTCTCTCTCTCCTCTCTCCATGTATCTCTCATCTTCCTTCTCTCTCTCTCTCTGTCTTTTGTCTATATTCCCCTTTAGCTGTAACTTTTTTCTTCTGTATTTCAGGCTGTCTCTTTTAGTGCCTCTGCATGTGAGTGCATGCGTGCCTGCCTCTCTCTATCCCCTTCCTTCTCCCAGACATCCTCCCCCACGCCTCTCCTCATCCAATATCTCCTATTCTCCTCCCACCACTCATCCCATCTTCCCTCTCTCAGAGCCACTCATTGACTCCACCACAAGACAACTCTCACAAAACATATACACAGAACACTCACAGAAAAGAATTAAAATAAAACACTCACAGAAGCGCACGAAAAACTTAACAATAACAACAGTGCACGTACAAAAACATGACCATTTTCACACAACGCAAAAAGAGCACTTACACAAGAGAGCATAACGCTCACTCAAGCTGACCACACACACGCACACACACACACACACACATATCCTTATGTGTATCCTTATCCTAGGCCACACACAGGATACAGAATAGGAAATGAAGTACTTAATGAAACGGACAGAGAGAAAGATCAAGGAGTTGATATCACACAAAACCTGTCTCCTAAAGCCCACATAAAAAGAATTACGTCTGCGGCATATGCGAGGCTGGTTAACATCAGAACAGCGTTCAGGAACCTGTGTAAGGAATCGTTCAGATCCTTGTATACCACATATGTAAGACCAATCCTGGAGTATGCGGCCCCAGCATGGAGCCCGTACCTTGTCAAGCACAAGACGAAGCTGGAAAAAGTTCAAAGATATGCCACTAGACTAGTCCCAGAACTATGAGGGATGAGTTACGAGGAAAGGCTGCGGGAAATACACCTTACGACACTGGAAGACAGAAGAATAAGGGGAGACATGCTCACTACCTACAAAATCCTCAGGGGAATCGACCGGGTAGACAATGATAAACTATTCAACACTGGTGGGACGCGAACAAATGGACACATGTGGAAACTGAGTACCCACATGAGCCACAGGGACGTTAGAAAGAACTTTTTCAGTGTCACAGTAGTTAACAGGTGGAATGCATTAGGCAGTGATGTGGTGGAGGCTGACTCCATACACAGTTTCAAGTGTAGATATGATAGAGCCCAGTAGGCTGAGGAATCTGTACACCAGTTGATTGACAGTTGAGAGGCGGGACCAAAGAGCCAAAACTCAACCACCGCAAGCACAAATAGGCGAGTACAAATAGATGAGTACACACACACACACACATATACACAGCCGCACACACACACACACAACAAAGAGAACACATGACTAGAGAACATAACACCAAAATAATGGCGCCATTAGAGTGAGTTACCCGCCCGCCCGCCTGGCGTTAAGTCTTCTCTTTGAACTCCCGTAATCCCCTCCTCCCCCCCCCCCCTCTACAATTATTTTACTTTCTGATCTACTATCATTTTTTGGGGTTGAGTTTAACTACTGCCTCGCACACCCGCTAATGTCAGGCTCCGCAATGACCGACATATATAGTTGGAAGATACTTGTATAGTGTATAACTTGACATTTATATATATATATATAAATTTCAGAAAACGGAAAACACAGGTAAGACAGAGGTCACAGGGTACAAAGGTAACAGAAGAGTTCACAGGGTACAAAGGTAACGGATAACGGTATACGCAGATAACACAAGAGGTCACAGGGTTAACAGAGCATCTCTTGGCCCATAACAGTTAAACGACCTTGACCGCCAGTGCAGGAAAGTGTCGAGCAGCTGTGACAGGTGCGTGGACTTTCATTCAAGAAAATGCGCGTCATTGTCTTGCAATCTACTGTCACGCATTTGGCCCAGGGAAGCCTCATTAAAACAATCCTCCATCATTTGCTGCAGATGACAGGTTCAGGGTCCGGCCGGGTAAGAGAGCAGGCGCTGGAGTTACAGGGTGGCTGGCCTCACATTATCAAACACTGTAGATGACTTTAATTACCAAAACAATCCTCATTCATTATTGCGGGAGCGGGAGGTTATTAGGGCAAGAGGCAACAATTCTTTTGGTGTGAATGGAGGCGTTTGAGGCAATAGTTTGAAGATAAAAAATATAATTTTTAGTTTTAATATAAAATTTAATATTTTATTTTATTTTTATATATAATTTTTTTTTTACTTAAATTTGTTTATTTGTATTTTTAAGCAGTTTTAATATAAAAGCTAGGGATCTTAATATAAAACTTTGGTTTTAAGGTAAAGATATAGCCGTTAGGTCAAACACGTCTTTGGAAATACAGTAATTGAACTGGATTGGTTTACAAAATAAGAAAAATGAAGTTAAGGAAAGTAATACATTATGTTCTTCGCCGCACCTCGGCGTCCACTGCTGGTAGTGGACGGGTAGTGTCCACTGCTGGTAGTGGACGGGTAGTGTCCACTGCTGGTAGTGGACGGGTAGTGTCCACTGCTGGTAGTGGACGGGTAGTGTCCACTGCTGGTAGTGGACGGGTAGTGTCCACTGCTGGTAGTGGACGGGTAGTGTCCACTGCTGGTAGTGGACGGGTAGTGTCCACTGCTGGTAGTGGACGGGTAGTGTCCGGTGCCAGTCTTAGTGCTTATAACCCCCCCCCCCTTCCCCAATGATAACCATAAACGTGATGTGCTGACCTTTCAGGGTAGAGATGTGCTCCTGGTATTGGTGAGAACGCAAGCGGAAGACGCTGGGGGTGTTGTCTTCCTCGTCCTCGTCCTGATGTCCGGTGCGCGAGGCCCAAGCTGGGGCGCTGCCGTCCCAGCTGGGGGCGTCCTCGCTGCTAGGGCTGGAGAAGAGGGAGTCGCGGGAGGTGGTACGCGAGGTGAGGACGTACTTGGTATATGCGGGATCCCTGTCGCGGATCTTTACCTTACTGCTGTACCGTCGCACCTCGTTCTTAGTACCGCCACCCTCCCATTGTACCGTGCTCACAGCCTCCATAGTAAGACCACCTTCAGGACTCCTCGACTCCCTGCCAGACTCAGTCGGACTCTCGTCTGAGCCCTGGACTTTGCCTGGGGAGTGTTCGAGGGTTACACTGCTGTCGTAAGTATCTCGTCGCTGGCCCTCGACTCTAGGATCAGTGGAGGAACCAAAGGACACAGTCGTTGTGTCTTCTTCCTCTACCTCCAGGATACGTTCAACTGAGGGCGTTCGTGAGCGTAAACGTGACTTGGGTTCCGAGGGAGTCCTGCTGCGGGTGTCGCGGGACTGTGTCGTGGTGTCTGGTGGGGGACTTGTCAGTCGTGGCGAGACCAGCTCCTGCTCCATAGGTTCCGGCGAGGTAGTGACAGCTCTGTCAAGACTGCGGCGAACTACCACGCGGTTGTACCTCTTCCGCTCGCCACGTTCACGGCTCTCGTATTGCTCTTCCTCCACACGTGTGTATCCGTCACGCCCAACGCTGCTGGGATCTTCCTCCTGAAGATCGTCAGTGGTGGTGCGTGTTTCTACGTGTGGCTTGCCAGCCCCGGTGTCCCAGAGAGTGGTGGTGTGTGTGGTGACGCCGTCTCCACGCTCAGCGCTGGTCACCACCTCTCGCACCACAGTGTGTCGACCAGGGGAAGCACTTCTCTCGCGGCGGCTGGTGTTGTCGCCGCTAGTGGTGCGTCTCCTGCTGGTGGATGTGGCGCCGAGGTCGGGCGTCTGTCTCTCTGGTGTTGTGCCGCGGCTGGACCTCGTGGCGGGGGAGCGACGGAGCTGAGGCCACTCCTTCACCGGCGACGACAGTTTCTGCAGCACCTCCTGACGATGGTGCTCCAGTCGACGCTCGATCTCTTCAGCCAAGGAACTTTCCTTAGCAGAGAAGGTAGACTCCCAGGGCTCAGGGGTTGATCCTCTTCGCTCGCCACAAGTCTTGTCATCATCGGTGCTCCGGCGGAGCTGAGCCCACTCTCGGGTCGGGGTCATGCTTCCCGACCTCATACGTCGTCTTTCCTCGAGGCGACGCTCGATGTCTTCTGCCAAGGTGGAGGTCGTCTCGTCCTCCACCCACTCCCACTCCTCGTCACTCTTGGCGGAGGCGCCGCGGTGTCCCTGGGGCGTATCCCTACCCGGGCTGGCGCTCTCCCGCCGGGGGCGCTTCTCCTTCTTGGGGCCGGCATCAGCCTCGTCAGGTAAGGCTTCTTCTCCACGCTCTACTGAAGGGGATCTCCTGCGTTCAGCTGATGGTGGCGCCTTCCTCTCTAACGAAGGCGACCTGTTTCGCCCCCACCAGACCTGCTCGAAGAAGGACACCTTGTTAAGGAGCGACCGCTTGTGCTTCTCAGGGCGACTGCGGTCGTCGTCGTTCCCGGAGGAAGGAGGCTTTCCTGGACTTTTATCAGCCATCATTGACCGGTGGATGTTTTCATGCGTGTGCGGAGGGTGCGTGTGGCGGGTGGTAGGGCACAGTGGCGTGCTCTCGTCAACACTGACGGGGTCACACTGTGCCTGCCGTAGCCCGCCTTCCTCATCCTGCCACCACCCGCTGCTCCGGGGGGAGGCCACACCCACCCTCGCTCCTTCCTCACACACTTCAACAATTACCTGCTGACCTCACTCTCGCACCACACTCCAACACCTGCCCTTATGCCATAAACATCCCACACCTGACACACACGTCCATATATACTGATGACACTAGTCAATAAGAGCAATATTCGATTCGTGTTTGTTGCCGTATCCCGCCGTCACGAACATGGCGGTAAACGGCCTGCCCTGCTGCCAGCCGCACAAGCAGCCTCAACACACCGTCAAGCACTGACTGTCACCACACGCCCCGGTCCCCACCTTACTCTACCGTGCCTCACTACCAATTGTAACACTAAAACTTGCCGTCAAATCCCTTTCAACAAGTGTAAAAGCAGAGTGAAGGAGGAGTGAAAGACCGGCGACGCTAGACCTTGGGAGTGCAGGGTGCCGCCGACCCCGTTAGTGTGGCCACAAGACGGTGCTCGGCTCCTGCTGGGCACCTCAGCCAATACCTTAGTTTTCAATAATGATGCAACAGCAACACTGCAAGTCCGCTACTATAATATGCATGCTATAGTCGTATCGTGTAAGACACCGTGTAACCTATGCCAAAAAAATGATTTTTTTTTCTGATTATTGAAGTTTGGCCATCAGGTGACCAGGCTATAGATCATAATGCAGTATTACGAACAATAAAAAATAAAATATTAATAAACGCACATATTTGCTTCATTTAATTGTTTTATAGCTACAGAAATTTGTCAAGTATATCTTAAATTGGGAATTGTTAAGACAACCCAAATGTCAATTCCTGGAGTTGTTTCCCCACGTGTTAACTTGAGTAAATATGAAACTTGTTGAGAGTGATTTCAACAGCTGAGTGAGTCGTGATCAGCTGTGGCGGAGATGGCGGGAGGGAGGCTGGCTCTCCGCCCTCCTCTCCTCCTCCTCCTGGCCAATTAAATAACAATAGCAAATCTTCCTACTTATCCCCCCCCCCCTTCTTCCTCCCATTTTCTCGTCTCTCTCCGTCTCGCCCTTTCCCTTCAACACACTAACACACTTTTAACAAGAACATTACTAATTATGGTCTTTCCCCTGGAAACACAAACCGAAACTGTCTCTATTTTCCGCTTGTTACAACTTGTAATAAAGTTGTTACATCTTGGCTTAACGTGTTTATGACGTATTAGAACGTTGTTACAACTTGCTATATTGGTTGTTATAACTGGTTATAGGTGGTGTTAAAACTTGTTCGAACGTTGTACCAACGTCGTAATTTCGGTGCGTGTTTGGCTGGTTCTCATATGGCATTCATCTCGTGTTGGCCTCCATGCTTCAACCCAGCGTTTACCAACCTGTCTGGCGCGAGGGGTAGACAGGTGTGGCGCGAGGGGTAGACAGGTGTGGCGCCCACCTTTCCCTCCCCGCATCAGCGACCATCTCTCACCTTGTGGCACTGATCTCTACCCCCCCCCCCCTGCTCCCCACACTGTGGGGGGGTGACTGTATATTGTTTTTAAGACTGATAAGGAAGGGATAACTAGGTTCCCTGGGAGGCAACACACCGCTATACCACACTGTTCAACTCCCCAACTGGAAGAAACTCCAGAACTATTACGTTCATCGATATAGTAATACCAATAGTTTTTCCACATTAAAAATAGTAGTGTGGTGTTACAGTTGCACGTTGCTCCTGCCTGCCCTCTATAGTCAACACAGCTGCAGCATGTAGTGGAGACTATACGAGGCGTGGCTACAAGGGTGAGCCACACCACCACAGCTCATACTCTCAATTTACAGTTTTCCACCGACAAAAATTATAATGACTAAATCGCGGCAGTATTAACACATGAGCCTGTTACTGTTATATTCCCTTCTCCTGTTCAGTATTACCAGCACATGCTGGCCTAATATGTGTATGCATGAGATGGTGGCACGCCAGCCCTCTCCTGGGTGTCCCCATGTCATGCCAGCCCTCCCCCGGGTGTCCCCATGTCATGACAGCCCTCCCCCGGGTGTCCCCATGTCATGACAGCCCTCCCCCGGGTGTCCCCATGTCATGACAGCCCTCACCCGGGTGTCCCCATGTCATGACAGCACTCACCCGGGTGTCCCCATGTCATGCCAGCACTCCACCGGGTGTCCCCATGTCACGCCAGCCCTCCCCGGGTGTCCCCACAACTTGTTATTATGGTGTATGCCTTGATCAATGTAGCCGTACTCGGGTTTCTGCCTCTCACGTGTGTACAACAGCATTGTTTACACTCCCCACACCCGCACGTGTGCTGTGGCAGGTGTGTACTAGGGGCTCACCATAGCCCGGCCTGCTTCCCAGCAGCTGAACCTCAGGCAACAACCCCACACACTCATCACTGTACCTGTATAACTGTTTATACCACACTTGTACCGAATTGTGCCGCACGCTAGCTTAGTGTCAGCCATGCCGGACACCCTCACGACACCCTCACACTGCATGACACCCAATATTGCATGACACAACACAGCACATGACGCAGACACTGGCGCTGCAAGCAGTGCACATAACGCCAGAAGCAACATAAGACACACACCAATATAACAACATAAGCACCATACGTAAGCTTATATCAAAAGGTCGGGAAGTATAACAGCGCCAGGGTATAGTACAAGGGTGGCGGGGCCCTAGAGCTAGAGCTCGTTCAGCGCAGATACAGTTACGTAAGCACCAAATTATAATTTGAAAACTTAAAATGAAAATAACATTTTCCAATTTAAGAAGATATGGAAGCGAAAACTAGAAATGATAAGAAACAAAATGTAGAAGAATGTCGCAATTTACTCATAAACGTAATGAGGACAGAGGGCGGGAGGCTAGGTGACGGGAAGTATGTGGAGTTACAGGGAACATTAGTCTCTACCTCCGCCCCTGAGGCGAGGAGGGCTCTCTACCTCCGCCCCTGAGGCGAGGAGGGCTCTCTACCTCCGCCCCTGAGGCGAGGAGGGCTCTCTACCTCCGCCCCTGAGGCGAGGAGGGCTCTCTACCTCCGCCCCTGCGGCGAGGAGGGCTCTCTACCTCCGCCCCTGAGGCGAGGAGGGCTCTCTACCTCCGCCCCTGAGGCGAGGAGGGCTCTCTACCTCCGCCCCTGAGGCGAGGAGGGTGGAGGCGTGGGAATGGTGAGCCCTCAGCCCTGGTGGATGTCTGTAAGATCAGGCCACCAGACCAGCACGGCCGCCTCGCCCGTACTCATCACCATCTTCACAACAGTATAGCCCACAAATACATTCATCCCACAGACATAAACTACCCCGCACCACTGTAACTGGGTTACAACCCTGTAGTGAAATATCATCAAAAGAATATAACAGTACGTTCTTAACATGATATCTAAATTAATATTTAACATGGCTTTAATTTTGATATGTTATATTACTCTGCAACCCCTAGCTTATTTATTTTTAGTAATTACTCAGTATATATTTATAAATTTAAATAAAACATGACAATTGCTAAACCAAAGCTAACAAAATAAGCCAGCAGCCTGGCCCAGAGCCTGCTTAATATTGGTGAGGGAGCAGTAGTGAGGAGCGAGAGCCTTTCACTGGCTGGTTGGTGTGTGGCAAGCGCCGCCCTCACCACATTATGTAACACGTCAACATCGCCTGCCGCCTGGTACCCAACACCGGAAGGATGCTTGTGCGAAATTAAAAAGGGTCAAATTGGGAAGCAAGTTGGCTGGAATATTGTGAAACTAATTAATTGTCTTTAGCAAGCTATTAAGGTAGTTACACAGCTAATGCCAGAAAAGAAATTGATGGGAGTGTAACGAACACAAATTCACCACTAAAGATGGTCTTTACTACAGTGAAAGAGAGGTGAGGTACATATGTGGTGGAGTACTGCCACTGAGCATGAGGCTTCACACTGCATGAGGCTTCACACTGCACGAGGCTTCACACTGCACGAGGCTTCACACTGCACGAGGCTTCACACTGCACGAGGCTTCACACTCCACGAGGCTTCACACTGCATGTTGCCAAGTTGCATCACCACTTGTCGGGTTCACCACGAATAGAACTAAATACTGACAAATTAAGGGAGAGAAAATCATATGTTGTTGGTGCTACTTTTCTCAACCTTTTTTATGCATATATTCCAAACTATATAACTAATCCGAGTATAACTGGGATTAGCGCCTCAAGTACCAAGCTGACTTTAATAGCCCGCCCTCATCAGCGACGGCCAAAAGTGATATCATGCACCCGTCAACCACCTTGTTTATGAATGGACAGGCTTTACTCACGACTCAAAACTGATGACGTTCGAACTGTGCTTCGCTGACGATATATTAGTACTTTGTCTATAGTTAGACGAAAGGTAAGTTTATGTAGGCGTTTAAGTTCTGTTTCCGATTATTTGTATTTGTAGTACGTTGGCGAAGCATTTAGTCAGTTGTGATATTAGAACACATGTCGTCAGCGAAACACTGTTCGAGAAATATTCGAACGTCATCAGTTGTGAGTCGTATATAAACAGTTTTCATTTCTAAACGGGGTGTTTGGCGGCTGGATTAACGAGCATTTGGTGAGAATGACAACGTTAGTGAGAACGGGACGTCATATACCAGGTCGTCCTCATAAACAACGGTCCAGTGCATGTTAAGCCTACCAAACCCCTGGCCGGTTATTTAATATATATATATATATATATATATATATATATATATAATACACAACCCGTGTATTATATTATATTATATTATATATATATATATATATATATATATATATATATATATATATATATATATATATATATATATATATATATATATATATGCAACAATGATCACAAAAACACTGATCCAAGTATGCAGAATAACCACATATGAAAAATAGAAAATGCTTAACGCGTTTTCGGCTA